TCCACGCCCTCTCTGTTCATTACCAAATAAAAATGTTGTAATTTAACCCCATGCTCACGATAATAAACACTAGGGGATAATAAAGTTCGGGGTTCAGGGGGAGATAATCAAAGTAGCCCACCAGACCTCAGCATAATCTCGAAGTAAGAGATGATCAAGAGGAGACCAAACCGAGCACGTTTTGAGACATCCTTGGCGTTTAGTCTTCATTAAAATATCCTCAACAATGGCTTATCTCGCTGGAGACATCCTCGACAAATCCCTTGTTTCGCTTGAGACATCCACAAACTATTGCTTATTTCGCTTGAGACACCGTCAAACTATTGCTTATTTCGCTTGAGACATCCTCGAAATAATTGTGTTTTCGCTTGAAACATCATCAAACTATTGCTGATTTCGCCTGAACATCCTGAAACTATTGCGTATTTCGCTTGAGACATCCTGAAACTATTGCTTATTTCGCTTGAGACACCGTCAAACTATTGCTTATTTCGCTTGAGACATCCTCGAAATAATTGTATTTTTTATTCTCGAAGGTCTCATTGTCTGGTTCTGCTCTCTGAGCAGCCATCTGCTTGAGCAGCTCTGCTTCAGCAGCTCACCTTGAGCAGAGAGAGAGATAGTGAGAGAAAGAGGAGAGAGGGAGGGAGAGAGAGAGAGAGAGAGAGAGAGAGAGAGAGAAGTGAGACTCTCTCTCTCTCTCTCTCCCGCCGTGCGCTCCTCTGAGGTTTATTATCGTCGGCAGTGTTTTATCATCGGCTGAGGTTTATTATCGTCGGCAGTTTTTTATCATCGGCAGTGGTCAATCGCAACTCCTGAGCTGTCCCGGAAGACGGCGGCACGCAAATGATACGCATTTTTTTGAAAAACTTCATTAAACAAAAAAAAACTTTTTTTAATTGCGAATTCCATTGTAATCCTTTCAAAATTGCGAAATCGAGCCGCCAGGCGCTTGAATGCCACATTGCGTTCGAGATTTAAGCACGCGACGCATTTATGAGAAATTTGCGTCGCACGCGCTTTTGCCCGAATATCGAACGCAGTGTGGCATTCAGGCGCGTGCGGGTTCGAATTCGCAATTTCGAAAGGACTTCAATGGAATTCGCAACCAAATATAGTATTTGTTGTCAAAACAAGGTTTTTCAAAAAATGCGTGTCATGAGAAAATTGCGTCGCACACGCTTTCGCCTAAATCTCGAACGCAGTGCGGCATTCAAGCGCCTGGCGGCTCGATTTCGCAAATTCGAAAAGATTTCAATGGAATTCGCAATGAAATAACATATATTTTTGTTCAAAATGACGATTTTCAAAAACATGCGTATCATTTGCGTGCCGCCGTGTTCCCGGAGAGCTCAGGAGTTGCTACCGACCACTGCCGATGATAAAAAAACTGACGACGATAATAAACCTCAAGAGGTTGTGCTGAGGGGTTGTGCTGCAGGGTTGTGCTGGAGGTTTGTGCTGGAGGGTTGTGCTGGAGGGTTGTGCTGGAGGGTTGTGCTGGAGGGTTGTGCTGGAGGGTTGTGCTGGAGGGTTGTGCTGGAGGGTTGTGCTGGGGGGGCTGTGCTGAGAGAGAGAGAGAGAGAGAAGGAAAAACAAAGAATATATAAGATATTTTTTCTAAAAAAATAAGAAAGATAAACCACATTTCGCAGAAAAAAAACTTATATTAAAGAAGCATACTAATAAGAAGAAGAATAAGAAGAAGAGAAGACATATAGAAAGAAAGACAGATAGAGGAGGAGGAGGAAAAACAAAAACTTCAAGTTTCAAACCCATCAGATTTTATTTAGAAGCGCTTTATGAAAATTGAGAAAGAGAGAGAGAGAGAGACAAGAAGAGGATATAATGAAAAGCAAGAGAGGAAGGAGAGGAGGAGAGGAAAGGAGAAGACAGGAGAGGAGCAGGAGGAGAGAGAGATAGAGAAACAGAGAGAGAAAAACAACAGAGAGGACAATTTTTCTTATTTTAAAAAATCTATCAGATTTTCCATGGATAATCAGACCCAGGGATAACCAAGTTCAGGGGGGCGTGGGGGGGGGAGAGACAGAGAGATAGAACGAGAGAGAGAGAGAAGAAATAATGACAATGAAGAGGAGAAGAAAAATTCAAGAGGAGAAGTAGAAGAGGAGAGGAAGAGGAACAACAAAAATTTCAAGTTCCAAATCTATTATATTTTATTTACAAACGCTTTATGTTTTTTTTATTATATAAAAAAGGTGCTCGTGTAGGAGCTCATGTGCCTCACTTTCCGTGCATAATCAACCCCAGGGATAAACAAGTTCAGGGGCGCATGGGGAGAGAGAAAGATATAAAGAGAGAAATAAAGAAAACAAAAAGAGAGTTGAGGGAAACACATAAAATAAATAGTAAACATAAAATAAAGAGTAAAAAAATGACAAGAAGAACTGAGGAGGAGAAGTAGAAGAGGAGAGGAAAGGGGGATAAAACAAAAAAGCTGAATATTCAAATGTAATTTTTTTTTTTTTTTTTTTAAAAAAAAAAAAAAAAACAAACGCCTTATGAAAATTAAAATGTTTAAGTGCTCGTGCAGGGTAGCTCACGCGCCTCACTTCCCGTGGATAATCAACCCCAGGGATAAACAAGTTCAGGGGGGCATGGGGGGAGAGAGAGAGAGAGGAAAAAATAAACAAAACATGAAAATTAAAGACATATATAAAGAAATAACAATATAAATTAAGAAAAAAGAAGGAGAAGAGAAGAGGAAGAAAAAGAGCAATCCTCGAGTATATGCTTGTTCCGCTTGAGACATCCTCGACAAGCTTCTCGAATCGCTTGAGACATCCTCGCAGAATTGCTGGTTTCGCTTGAGACATCCGTGAAACATTGCTCGTTTCGTTTGGGCCTGCCTCCCAAAATTGTTGGTTTCGCTTGAGACATCCTCACAGAATTGTTGTTCTCGCTTGAGACATCCTTAAGAAACGTATCGTTTCGCTTGAGACATCCTTCAGTATATGCTTGTTTCGCTTGAGACATCCTCGAGTATATGCTTGTTTCGCTTGAGACATCCTCGACAAGCTTCTCGAATCGCTCGAGACATCCTCGAGTATATGCTTGTTTCGCTTGAGACATCCTCGACAAGCTTCTCGAATCGCTTGAGACATCCTCACAGAATTACTGGTTTCGCTTGAGACATCCTTGAAACATTGCTCGTTTCCTTTGAGCCTGCCTCACAAAATTCTTGGTTTCGCTTGAGACATCCTGAAAAGTGTGATCGCTTCGCTTGATGTTGCTATTTCAACATAACTTGATCTTGCTATCTCAACATAGCGTTCCGAGGTGATAATGAAGTTTGGCCTCCGCGCCCCGCGCCCCCGACCAAACTCTTATTGGTCGACGATAAAAACTCTAACGACTTAAGGGGGGGGTACATTATTATCGTGGGCATGGGGTTACTCTCATTAATTCCCTTATCCTCTGAAAGGCCCTCCACGCTCCACGAAGTAAGCCGCCCCATGCATGCCGGCCACGGGTTCGCAGTGCTGCCGAATTGCCTTTGGCAGTTCCGTCTTTCCTGAAATTGTGCTGCGAAAGCACTGCGTGGCAAGGTTAAGGTTGACTCAATAATCCCATGGGCAGTCGCAGAATGAACTCTCTCGCAATGTTGGGAAATAGACTCTGCGCAAAACTCCCATGGCCCATGAATGTGAAACGCCGACATGCCGTCCGAGTCCCTAATGTTTGTCTTTCCCCTTCCCCGCGCCCTTCTTCCCCTTGGATGCGCTTCCCCCTGTCTCTTTCACCGGGAGGTTCTCCAGCTGGTGTTTCATGGGGTCGGGGAGTTCCGGGAAGCTCGGGTCTGAGAACCAAGCGGCCCAATCCGTCCCGTACTCGACCTGTGAGGCTGCCGTTGTCGATGGCGACTTGCACGGCAAGCTCTTTGCCAACCTCGACGGTGCCTTTTTCCGGGTCAGCCCAAATCGCCTTGGCCTCACAACCCCACTGTTTCAACAAGTATTTGATCTCAAAGACAGTTGAAGAAATAATGCGTTTGGAAAGTGGCTGGTCTTGCTTTGCCCACACTTGATTACCCCCCTCGTTGAGTGAGCCGTTTCTGGAAACCTGTATTGCGGCATTCTGACTTGTGCTGCTGAGGAATTTTGCAAAGAGAAGGCCCTGAAGCTTCCTTTTTGAATGCGTATCTTCTGGTTGCGGCCCAGAACCTTCCCAAAGCTTGTTCCCCACCCACCATTTAGTGGAATCCAAGTCCCCGATCGTCTGAGGGCCTCCGAGAATCATGGTATTGTTCTTCTCCTGGTCCTCTGTGGCGTCCGGCCCACTGATCCACAACATAGACACCTGCTCCTGTAACTCCCGGATCTTTTTCATTACGTCGTCATTGCCGCTCGCATTTGAGCGCGGTGTCTCCGTCAAGTCAAAAGTGTTTTCGAAATTCGTGAGGCGCATCTCCACATCGTCCATTCTCTCCACTGTACTCTCGACCCGCTCCTCCACTGAACTCATCCTCGTCCCAAGTGCTCCGCTCAGCTGTGTGAACTGGGTCTCTAAATTGGCCATTGCCGTCCGTAATGGCTGTACCTCCTCTCTGAGACGCTTTGCTATCTCATGGAACGCTGGTGGGTGAGCATCCACCGGAGTACCTGGAGTGGCGAGGCTGTGCACTTCCGCGCCGGTCGGCACGTCGGCCGGCGGCGTGTGAGGGCCATCAAAATGAAGCTGACGAGCAGTTCCACTGGCCTCTGCACCTGGACCGGGTGCTGCTACTGCTGCTGCTCCAGCGTCGTCCGTGTCACCGTCCATCTCGTGCAACGGGCTGGACAGGCGAGCCTTCTTATCCTGGGGAGGGATTGGCGTGGTCGGCACAATCGATGCCGATGCCGATGCACCCGATGACGCCTCGCCCAACACTCGACGCATTGGAGTGCCTGGCTGCCAAGAGTTCGTAGGCATGATGGGATCATATGTGAAAGGTAAGTGAGAAAGATTGTAGAGTAAGTGGTAAAGATTGTAGAGTCAGATTATACATTGTAATTGGACGCCAGGACCTTGAGCCACTTGAGCCACTTGAGCCACTTCACCCACACTTGGGTCCTAGGGTAGACGAGAAGGCCACTCTGCGAGAGGCGTGAGAGAGATAGAAGGAGAGATCAAGGCGTAGGCCAGACACTCCAATGTGGAGCAAGTCCCTCCTATCAGCTGGAGGTCGCCTCCACGGCCTGGCCCATTGGGACCCCCGCAACCGTACCCATCGTGGGTCCCACACCTGGTTGTTGGGACGATGTCTCTGGAGAAACGACCACAACGGAGAGGGGGGGGGCACTATCAGGGGGCCTCCCGCTGGGCAGCCGAATTCGGTCCTCGAGATCCTGGGGAGGCCCCGCCAGGCCCCGCCGGTGGGCGCAACGAAGACTGCAGCCAACATCAACAGGCCCTCTTCACGTACGGGTTGTCAGACACTGTGCCGAGCCTACTCTGCCTACCAGAAACAGCAATTCCTAGAGGGGCTAGCCACACGTGGGAGGGACAGGGATACTTTTTGTTGTGGCTTGGATTCCATGTGGTGGTGGTCGTCCGAAGAAGATGCGGGAAGGGACGAGGGGACGGAAGGGGCGTTAAGCGAAGAGGCCAGAGCCATCGATCAAAGCGACGGGCAGAAAAGTGCTAGGGAGCGCCAACGCCATCCCAATCACTGCTGTCAATCGGCGTCTTCGCGCAAACGAAAATCGCACGGCACACTTGATGCCTGAACGAGGGCGCTTTGCTGCTCACAGGGACGAGCCGTGTCCAAAGCGCTGGGGGGGACCTTCTCTCCACCAAGAAAACTCCAGCTCGCCCTTGCTCCCAGCGCTGGCCACCTGGAGGCATGCCTCCAAGGAGTCGTCACGGCTGCCCTTGGAGACGGAGGGCACCTGAGGGCTAGAGGATTGGGCGGGCTGGCCTGCTTCTCCTCCACAATCTCGTTCCGATCCTGGTCCTTCTGCGCCTCCTCTTCCTCTTCCCTTCTTGTTCTTCTGGACTGCTGCATGCCAGCCATGTTCCCGGGGGACTTTGTGAAACCCGATTCCACTGGTATCGAGGATCTGCATATCAGAGTTCAATGCTGAATGCCCTCCTCATTCCCAACTGTATACCGAAATTCGCCAGCCCAACAAGCCACAGGCGTGCTAGGATCCCAAGGCAATAAATTACAACATTTCTAGTTCGCGCGCGTGGCGGCCCTTGGGCACCCCTGGACGATAAGTATCCTGGCCGATGCCAGGGCGATGCCCAGGCGATCCCCTGGCGATGCCTGGCTGACTCCCCCAGGGCGCTCCAGGAGCGCGCCAAGAGGGCGCCAGGACGCCTCCCACACGGCCCAAGAGGCCCTGAGTCGCCGAATGATTGTTCCAATACTCTCAAGATGGTCCCCAGATGGCCCCAGAGGCCGCGAAAAAAACCCAAGAGAGCCTCAAGAGGCTCTCCAAGAGGGCCCCAACAAGCAAAAGTTGTTCCATTCCTTTTGGGAAACGTACAGTTTTCCCATGTGCGACGTTTCTCGCCTTTCGGTTGTCCAACGCTCCAAGACGGTCCAAGAAGCTTCCCCCAAGACCGCCCCCAGACGGCCCAAGAAGCCTCCAAAAGGACCCCAAGACGGTCCAAGATGGCCCCAAGACAGCCCAAGAGGCGCCCAAAATGGCCGAAAAAGGCCCCAAAACGACCACAAGAGGGCCCCAAGACGGAAACCAGGAACCGCCAAGTCCAGTTTTCAGCCCCAAGGCCTCCAGGAGGCCCCAGGAGGCCCCCGAGAGGCCCCAAGGGGCCCCCAAGAGGCACCCCAAGAAACCCCAAGAAACCCCCAAAAGGCCCGGAGAGGCCCCAACACGGCCCCCAAAAGGCCTCAAAACTGCCTCCCAAATGCCCCTAAGAGGCCCCAACACGGCCCCCAAGCGGCGACGCAATATGGGCCGGCGGAATGAACGTAACGAGTAAATACCTCGTGGCCACGACACTATGTCTGCAAGCGCGGACCCGTGGCCACAACACTATGTCTGCCAGCGCGGACCCCGAATAGTGGGTTCTGGCACCCTCGTGGCGCAATCATGGGATGCATTCGGTGTGGTGCAATCGTGGTGGCGCAATCAATGTAGCGCAAACTGCGCGATGTAATTTTATGTGTTACATGCTATGTGGTGCTTGCTGTGGGGTCGAAATTTTGCGGTGCAGCCGATGAAGTGCAAGCATATGTGGCGCAAACAATGTGATGCAAAAAACGTGGTGCCCTGTGCAAGATGCGCTCTACGCGGTGCAATTAACTGTGGAACCCGTGCGCGACCACCACCCATGCACGAGCAAGCATTCCGCCCATCCACTCGCATGGTGTAAACTCATGGGGCCGTGAATGCAGTTACTCATCCGAACTTGCAAATCTCAATGCGCGCAATGAGGCGCGGATCTTGTTCATGCAGATCGATGAATCGGGCGGGCAAGTGGTGCTGGTGGCGACGGCATCATCGACGACGATGGCGAAAAAACAATGGCGATGACGATTGTGATGATGACGGCAATGTTGATGATTGTGATGGTGATGACGATGCCAAAGATAACGCGGGCGATGGTGATGACGGTAGTGCTGATGAAGATGATGAGGACATGCGCGCGCAGAAGCTCCGTCACATTTTTATTGAAGAGCATTAACTCACTTCTCGGTGTTGCCAATGCGTTGGGTCTTCTGCTTTGCCATGATTTCGATATGCGCGCGCGGGGGCGCACTCGCGTGGCCCAAAATGGAACCATTTGGCAACTTTGGTGCACAGACACGCACGCACACACACACACACACACACACGCACGCACGCACACACACACACACACACACACACACACACACACACGCACACGCACACGCACACGCACACGCACACGCACACGCACACGCACACGCACACGCACGCACACACACACACACACACACACACACACACGCACACACACACACGCACACACACACACACAACTCGCAAGAAGGGCCCGCGAGCCAGAGGAGGAGGGCGAGGCCATCAGACATCAGGAGATGATTGGCGACCCCCCCCCCCCCCCCCCCCGGCGTTCTTCACTTTGTCGCGCCCTCGACGCGAGGGCGAAGTGCCTGGAATGGGGTGTGTCAGAGGCACACCTGGTCAGCGCGACCCCCGGGGCCCCCGGGGGTGCTTCCTTCCCGCGGCACTCGCCGCGCAAGTCGGATGGGGCAGCACCTGGCGGAGCGCGGCGACCGCCAGGCTCGGGCCCGCCCTCTTGCACCGGGGCGCCTTCGCAATCTGGCCGGGGCCATGCCGGCTCGCAGACCTCAGGAGGGCGGCGGGCTTCATGTAGATCCTGACGCTGTCGAGGCACTGCCAGCGCCCTCTCGCCTGGATAATGGCGAGCGCGGCGATGCTTTTGACGGCGCCCGTTGAAGGCCCGCCGCGCCTCATGCCGCGGGCGACCACTTCCCGGCCCAGGGCCGCCGAGCACACGGCGGAGATCTTGTCCAGCTCGGCCATATTCAGCGAGTGGAAGAGGTGGTCAGACGGCGGCGCCTTCCCCGCAAAGATCCCGAGGGCGTCCTCTGCCCACGTCCGGCCGAACTCCCCCGCGACCACGCCAACGTCGAACCGCCTGTTCTTGGCGGACTTGTCGCCGGTCTTTGGGGCGACGGCGATGCTCCACCGCCGACTGTCGGCCGCCGGCTGCGGTCGGGCAACGTCTGCGACCTTCAGGTCGAGGGTTTCCTGCGGCCTGAAGTAGCAGCCCCAGGCAAGGGGCGCGCCAGCGGCGGCGAGCGCGCGCGTCATCGGGCCCGACCGATGGCGCAGCAAGAACTCGACGATCAGCCAGAGCATCTCCTCGCACGGCGGGCCCCGGCTCTGGTCTGGGCACCTCCTCCTGAACGCCTTCAAAAATGGCCTCGGCCAGCGGCGCGCAGTCAAGGGCGCGGATCGGCCAGTCGTCGCGGCCAGCGCGCCCAGACAAAGCGCGCCTAGCGGATCCAACTGGACAGCCATCGAAGCACAAGTACTCCATGAAGCGAACCAGGAGATCGCCCCATGCACTGAGGTCGTTCTTCCTGGGCTTGTCCACGGCGAAGTCCAGCGCGGCGTCGCAATGTTCGTCGCGTCTCTTCGCGTTCGCTGGCGCGGCGCTGAGCTTCCGAAGGAATCCTGGGTTCGTGGCGGCGTCGGCGAGCCGCCTGCGGCGCTGGCCCCGGGCTCGGCCATGCTGGGCCGCGGCGCCTCGCGCGATCAGCGAGAGCGCCGGGTTCCCAAGCGAGCGGCCGCCCGCCCCAGCGCCCGCCTGCCGACTCCCAGCCGAGCGCGGCCGCCCGCGGGAGGGGGCCCGGGTGGAGCGGCACGTCGATGACCGACCCCCTCACGGCTGCCAGCTGCCGCCCCCGCAGCTCGTCGAGCTCGGCGCCGGAGCTCGAGCGCCAGGCTGACGAGGGCGCCACGTCCCAGCAGACCCCCGCCAGGCGCTTGCAAAAACGAAGAGGGTGCACAGACGCGAGGCCAGCCCGCCAGCGCCAGCCTGTCCCTGGCAGGTGCTCTGAGCCTTGGAAGACGACGTGGCGGACGTGGCCGGGGCAGAGCTGGCCCATCCGCTCGATCCCCATCGAGGGCCCCAACGAGGCGGGTGGGTTCTCGCCAGGTAACTCCGCAACTGCACATGTCGAGGAGAACTCTGACGGCTCGTCGCGTGAATCGCAGGAGCGGTGGCAGCCGCTGCCGCAGACCGGGGCCCCCGGGGTTCTCGATGACGAACGCCGCGCCAGCGCTCCGGCACGCGCGCAGCAAGCGACGCGCGAACCGCGCACAAGCCAGTCTGGCAGCGTCGCGAGCTTGGCCCCCCCCCCGCTGGCTCCTCGGCGTCGCCGAAGAGATGGCGTCCACGAGGTGCGCTGCGCACCCAGCCAGACCCGCAATATGAGCCCAGCCAGGATCCATCTGATGACGACGTCCGCCACGTCCTTGCAGGCGATGTCGAAGTGGCTCCCGCTGCGCGCGTCGACGGGCGCCGCCGCCCGCAGTCTGGCGGCGGCCGCCGCCACGGTGGTGTCCGACCCTGTCGAAGATCTCCGAGAAGAACTTGCCCGCGGGCGGCGGCGGCGGGATCCGCTGGCGGCGGTCATCTCGATTGCCAACGTCGCCAGCGCGATTCGGTGCGGCATCTTTCCGGTCACCTCGCCGAACAATGTCGCCAGCGCGATTTGGCGGGACCACTTGCCGGTCTCCTAGTTGATCAGCGTCGCCGGGTCGCCACGATGATCGCCGTCGCCAGCGCGACTTGGTGGGGCCACTCGGCGGCCACCTCGCTCGTCCACGTCGCCAGGGCACGTTCGCGGCATGCGCCGAGAAGGCTCGGGCAGCGCGCCCAACCCATGGCTGCGGGGCCCAGCTTGCCGCCCTCGGGGGCCGCGGCAGCAGCCTTGCGCAATCCGCAGAAGCGCCCCGCATCCCGCGCCTCGGCTCGAAGTCCTTCGGCGGCCTGCCCGAGGCGTGCCCGGGCCCGGGCGAGCCGCGAGGCGACGTCGCCGGGGTTGCGGCTGGTCTCGATGCATCGCCGGGCCTGCCCGACGTCGGCCCCGACCCGCCACGCGCAGCCTCGCCTCGCGAGGCACAAGAGCAGCCGGTGCGCGGCTCGCCCTCGGTCGAAGGAAAGGACCTCGGCCACGTTGTCGCCGAGGCTGAGGCGCGCCGAGTTGGCCCCGCTCGCCCCCGCAGTAGTCAGTAGTCGAACAGTCCGAAGAGGGAGGCCCGAGCTTCCAGCAAATTGATCTTGCCCTTCACCCTCCAGCTGCCTGCGACCAGGCACTTCCATCTGCGCGGGTCGCCCCATTCAGGGCCCAGGGCTGGCGCCGCCCCGCGAGCCTCTACCAGAGCGTCGGGGGCGCGGGCGCGCTTGCCCAGCTGTCGGGGCAGGAGGTCCAGTTCGCGTGCGACCTCCACCTCGGCCCAGGCAGCGAAGGCCCCTGGTGGACAGCCCGACTCGGGGTCTCGGCGGCAGGGCGCCACGGCAGAGCCTGGGCTCAGGCTCGTCGCCCGCGAACGCGTCGGGCTCGCGGAAGCGCCGCCTCTCTCTGCACTCGGCGGCTTCCCAAGCCTCCCGCGGCGAGGCGACGGTCGCGCGCCGGGCGTGCCCGTCGCCGCTGGCGTCCGAGCAGTAGACCCGGCCCCCGAGGGGGCGCCCCAGGTCGGACACGGCCAGCGGCTGGAGCGACCGCGCCGCGCGCAGCTCGGACGGCTCGTCGGCGTCGCGGGCCTTCCAGTCGCCAACGCCGTCCCCGATGAAGCGGCGCAGGGCGCGCAGCACGCAGAGCAACTCCCGGCGCGCGCCGAAGTGGCCCACGATGCGCCCAACCACTCGGCGCTCTTGCGAGGGAATCGCTCCGCGCAAGCACTCCAGCTCCCGCAGCGCGTGACAGAGCCGCCGCGCCCGCTTCGGCCTCGGCATGAGAGACTGCCTCGGCCCTTGGATGATTCGCCATGCGCGTCGAAGCCTGTTGAGCGCAGCTCCTCGCGGAAGGCCACGTGCAGCTGTTCGCCAGCCTCCTTGGACCCCCCGATGATATTTCCGTTGTCGACGTAGGGCGCCAAAGTGGCGCAACGAGGTCCGAAGGGGAGGGCCGCCAGTCGGCAAGGATTCACCTTGGTTTCGTCAGAATGTAATACCAACCGTCTTGTTTCATCCGTTTAATTGTCAAAATAGGCTTGCCCTATCGGAGTCCTAGCTCAAACCCTGCAAATTCGTCCGTTGCCCCCCCCCCCCCTGGTTCCTATGCCCCCCTAATTCCTATGCCTATGCCTATGCCTCCCCCTAACTCCTATGCCTACGCCCATGCCATGCATGCTTGCTTGCTTGCTTGCTTGTTTGCACGCTTGCTTGCGTGCTGAGTTGCGGATTCCAAGCGTGATTGATTCCTCTGATTCCTGAATTTGGCTCCTCTAGTTAATCTATGTGGAGCCAACGGTGGCTGATATTATCCATCTATGATTGCCCTTGAGGAGTTCTAATTCAAACCCTACTAGTTGGTCCGTTGTCCCCCTAATTCCTATGCCCCCCTAATTCTTATGGCTATGCCTCTGCCTATGCCTCCCCCTAACTCCGATGCCTACGCCTACGCCTACGCCTACGCCTACGCACCACCTCTGAGCGTTCGTAGCCCCCCCTTTGTCCAATGGTACCCTTCCTTTTTCTAATGGTACGCGCTTGCTTCCTCTTGCGTGCTTGCTCTCGCTTGCTTGTTCTTGTTTGCCCTTGCTTGCTTGCACTTGATCGCTGGCTCTTGCTTGCTTGTTTTTGTTCGCTTGCGCTCGCTTGCTTCCGCTTGCTTGCTTGCGCTTGCTTGATTATGCTCCTCATGTCATCCTCCCGTCCTGCTCCCGTCCTCCTTTCGTCCTCCTCCCATCCTCCTCTCGTCCTCCCCCTGTCCTCCTGCCTATTTGGAGCCAACGCTGGCTGATGTTTCATCCGTTTAATTTCATCCGTTTAACTTCATCCGCTAATTTCACCCAAATTCGCTTTATCCGGTTAACACCCACCCGGATTAAAGTTCATCAAATATGAATTTCCCCGGTTCAAATTCATCCGGTTTTAATTCGTCCTGTTTAAATTCACACGGTTGTAATTTCTTCGGTGTGCTTCTACTTGGCTCGCGTCATTCAAACCTCTCCCAATTAAGCTCGTCCGGCTTTAATTCGTCCAATTTGAACTCATCCGGCTTTCCGTTGAAATTCGTCCAGTTTGAACTCGCCTGGTTAAAATTCATACGATTTTAATTCGCCCGGTTTCACTCTATTTCGTACATTTGAATTCATATGGTTGTAATTCGCCCGGTTTAAATTCATCCGGTGATAACTCGCACGGTTTAAATTCATCCGGTTTTCTTTCGCCTGGTTAAAATTCATCCGGTTTTCATTCCCCTGGTGTAAATGCATCCAACTTGAATTCGTTCGGTTAAAATTCATTCGGTCTTATTTCGTCCAGTTTTAATTCATCCGATTTCAATTTGTCCAATTGACAGGCATCCCGTTAAAAACTCGCTCTGTTTGAACTCATCATGTTCTAAATCGCGCGCGCATCGCCCATGCATCGCGCGTGCATCGGCGATGCGTCGGCGACTCGTTGCGATCTTCGGACCCCATCAGCGAGAACCCCATGTGGGATGCCCAGGGTCGAAGAAGAAACCTCCGAATAAACAGAAGCTTTCATCGGCGCTGGACACTCAGACCGGCGCAGATATGTATATTTATGTCTGCTTCTTCTTATAGAGTGTCTAAAGCCTTCACAGGCCTCCACACAGCATGGACGACAAGAGCTCCAGGGTAAAGCAAAGAGACCTTCCAGAGTGGAGGAGATTCACAGCTGTGCTATGCACATATAGTAACATGGCGTGGCATTGTAATGAATTCTGAAGGTTTCGCGTAATCCCACCATACATTTCAGAAACGATGCCCAGACGACTTGCCCTGATCAGGGATGTGGATGAGCATGCACTGGAATACGGAACTTGGTAAGACGTCATACCTGAAGAGGGGAGGGATGGAGGAGGAATCGGAGGAGGAGCGGCACGACGAGGAGGAAGAAGAGTAAGTGGAGGAGGAAGAGGAAGAGGGAGAGGGGGAGCGGGACAAGCTAGGTGCGCTCGCGCCTCATGTGACATCCTATCACATCCCTCCCATCCCTCCCATCCCTTCCCATGGTGCGACTCCAACAGGAAAAAGCATGATCGACCCACGAACCAGGAGAGGAATCTAGAAATGTAAGGCATGGCAACGTTTCAAAAACACCTGTTTGGGCGACGGGCAACAGCAATGCTGAATGTATCGAGGTTGATGTACCGTGTCGAGGGCTGTGCTGCGCTGCGCCGTGCTGAATTGCGATGTGCCATGCCGCGATTGTGCTCTATAGTGTTGTGGATCGAGTCCTCCTTTGCATCCGAGTCCTGACCGAACTGATCTGGATCTTAAGCTCGAGCTGCACCAGAGCTAATTGAAAGGGGGACATGCAAAGAGGACGCGCCCCGGAACGTCCCATGGGACGTGCCAGACGACGTGCCAAGGGTCGTGCCATGGGGACGCACCGCGGGACGTGCCAAGGGTACGCGCTACGGAACGTGCCAATGGACGTGCCACGGGACATGTCAGGGGACGCGCCGCGCGACGTGCCAGGGGGACTGACCACGGGACGCGCCACGGAACGTGCCAAGGAACGCACCAAGTTGCAACGCTGAGTGTATCAATCTTGATGTACCGTGCCGAGGGCTGCTGTGCTGCGCCGTGCTGAACTGCGATGTACCATACCGTGATTGTGCTCTGTAGTGGGTCGAGTCCTCCTTTGCATCCGAGTCCTGGCCGAACTGATCTGGATCTTGAGCTCGAGCTGCCTGAGCACATGGTAGCTGCCCCAGAGCTTTGTGGAACCCATGTGTTTTCACGCTTCCCCCGCCCTGGGGCGTTAGGAACCATATGTGTTCAGGCTTGCCCCGCCCTGGGGCGTTAGGAACCTGTGTTTTCACGTATCTCCCGCCCTGGGGCATTCGGAACCTCTGTGTTTTCAGGCTTGCCCCGCCCTGGGGCGTTAGGAACACATGTGTTTTCGCGCTTCCCCCGCCCTGGGGCGTTAGGAACCCATGCGTTTTCACACTTGTCCCGCCCTGGGGCGTTAGGATCCGATATGTTCTCACGCTTCTCGAGCCTCCTGGGGCCTCCTGGCGGGGCGTGGGGAAGCGAAAAGCGCTCCCCGAGCACAT